TTATCTCTTTATCATTTTATCTGCTGAAGTTTCTCCAAGAATCCCTGGATGCTATTTGTGTTGCAAGCCTGAAGACACAGGTTAATGAACTTCAGCTTCTTCATCTTAAATCTTAGGAGTATCAGAGTTGTATTTATTGTCTCTGTCTGCCATTTCAATTTAGTTCTAATAGAATTCAGGGGTAAAACTGGCAGCTTCTCCTTTATATTTTTCTGAAAGTTTAAATGTCATGTACTTTGTTTTGTACCAATGAATCACATAGCAGCTTGCTACACAGAAAATAATTGTACAGATTAAGATAATCACATAGGTAATTGTGTATTTAGCATCTATATAAGGCCCAAACTTTTAAACGAACCAATTCTATTTCCAACTACTGATTTAAATTTCATCTAGCTAGCTCAAGTATACAGATAATATTCTCTACTCAGCTTCAATAGTTGACTCTTGATAGTAAAACTTAGCAAATAAATCTCCATTGATTTTTAAATCCTAATGAATGCAGTTTTCTTTACTGCAATCCAGAGTTGTCACTTTTATAGATATGAATTTCTCTTCAAAAGAGCCTAGATTATTGATTTGGAAAGAAATTTTCTACTGATCTTAATAGTCCGAAACTGTTAGAATTTCAACTTCTCTAGAGCCTTATCTCTCAAATATTTGTACCTTTTAAATGTCATTTAGGACGCTTTAATTTATCTCTAGCTCAATTGTTTACTGCTATAGATTTCTAAAACCTCTATTTCCAATTCTAAATATAGCTCCTACTTCATTCACCTTATCATCATTATTTTAGGCTCTTAAATAATCACCATTAGTAAGGTCAATTTTCAAATGACTAAAAGTCTTTTTAAACAACTCAATCATCCATTTCTAATTCTATCTCATAACTTCATGTAGAATTTTAATATCCTTGATGAAGAACACATCAGATCGCTTATCTTCGATTCCGAGCTCTGGTGAAAGGGCAAAAATTTTATGTTGCTAAAGCATCCAATCTGAAGCTTCACCGTTTGCATCATAAAATATAGATTACATTGCATTTCCTTTAAGCATTCCCTTGGGTAGACTTGAGTCATTATTGAAATCATGATACATTTTAGCAAAAGTTGGATAGTTTTGCTCTAAATCAAGATTATGAGTGTCAAGATCATAGTTGAAGGGCTGAATTAGAAGATTTCCCCAAGAATGAAGATTAAGCGCTATCATTATCTTTCCATCTTGCTGCTATAAGAAATTCTGAATGTTTTTAGTCTCGGGCTCTGAAAATGCAGATGGTCCTCTATAGTCCTCCGCACATGGATTTGATGATGAACCACTATCTTTATAAGAGAACTTGTAGGCATAGTTTCTATTTAGATCAACACCAACTTATAAATCATCTGGGCATTTTGTGTTCGAAGTTCCTGGGTTTCTATTTTTCCTGTAATATTCTAGTTTATTAAGAGATTAGTATTAATCAGAGATTTTTTTATAACTGTCTACATTCACAATAGGTACGAAATACAATATATTTTGCTAAAGAAGCTATTTAGTAGAGTAATCGCCCTTCTCATAATTGTATAATAACTTTAGAATTAGGTAATATATCATAGAAACGCTAGTCAGTTCTCTAGCATGATGAGCGCCATTGAGAAATATTGCCTACTTTTTGTCAGATGAAATCGAATCACTACTGTTATCTGTAAGTATAATCAACCTTTGTTCATTTCCCAGAAAGGTTTATCCGATAGTCGAAATATTAAGTATACTTGGAAATTCTCTTTATAGCATGTCCGATAATTCGATAGTACTTGAGTAGTTCAAGTAATTAGCCTATTAATAAAGCTTTATCAAAATCATTTAGTATACTTACCATTGATCCTGCAATAAACTAGTCAAATATATCAGTCTCTTCAAATGTTTAATTTGCGTTAAAGAACTCAATATACTATTTGTAAGAATTGAGGGCGATAGATTCCCCCATTAATCCTAGAGAGATCAATATTAGAGAGATGCACTTAAGATCTTTCATTATTTACTAATTAATTTGAATTTTCTTTTGATTCAAACTATTAATTTCACCAATCCTTATAAAATTCAAATTCTAACTATTATGAAATTAGAAGTAAGCTCGAGGGGTTTTGGGGTTTTGGGGTTTTGGGGTTTTGGGGTTTTGGGG